ACGCAAGATAAAACCCGGCGTTCACAGAAGCCGGGTCACCGGAAAGCTTCCCAGACGCAAAAGAAAACCCGCTAGATAACATGTCCACAGCCTAACCGCCGCGTCAACCCAAACTCTACCAAGACGCACGATCAGATGTCTACATGTGAACGCTTCGCGGGGGGAGGCGCTGTTGAAAAAATAGGTTAGGGGGTTGAAAAAATTGGTTCGGGGGTTGAAAAAATTGGTTAGGGGGTTGAAAAAAATGCCGGGGGGTTGGAAAAATATGGTCTGGGGGGTTGGAAAAATAGGTTTTCAACGGGGGTTGGAAAAATAGGGCGGAGGGGTTGAAAAAATAGGGGGGGTTGGAAAAATAGGGTGAGGGGGTTGAAAAAATAGGGAGCCCCCCTATCTATCTTTAAACTCACTCCGTTGAGTTCGATATAGTTCGATGCTTGTCAAACAGTCAGTGATTCGCTGTGGGGGGTCAAACTCTGAGCTCTCACTGCTAGAAATGATTTTACATATTTTTTGGTCAACCCCTTGAAAATACTTGAAAAAAACACACTTCTGGTGCAAACGTGGATGATGTAAGGTCGACCAAAAGGGTCCCTCCCGGTCCCCTTGTCCAAAGGTGGGTTTAGATCTTTCGTTGGACCCATAGCTACAAGTACCCTGGGTCTTGGTACCTTCCAACACGTCATGAACCGATCCTCCTCGCAAAACATATCACATCCCAGTCACATCCACGGGAGTCCAATTTGGTACCTTCAAATGTACACATATAAACACTGAAAATTAGTCGCCCAAGTCTGGTCACCAAACATGTGAGAAACATTGTGAGAAAGTCAATAATATATATATATAGCGATATATAGTCTAAGTATGTATTGTAAACTAGATTGTAAATCATGACCATCTAAGTCTACATCTTGAAGAAGTTGCCCGGTTGACCAGTCGACCGGTCAGACTCGATCTTTCCCATGGGATTTCTTCCACTCGGCACCTCGGAGCTGGCGCCACTCGACCTGCTCTCCGAGCGGCTCCGCGGCGTGCAGCACGAGCGGCCGCAGGCCAAAAGCGGGGGGGGGGGTCGATATGAGGTGGTGATGTTTTGGCAGGGTGTGTATCATGCAGGGGGTGATTTCAGGAAGTGGACCTTATAGCTGAACATACTGCATATACACTGTACACATTATATATATATATATATAGGTAAGAGTAGAAACATGAAAAAACATGTGGATGACACAGGTATTCCTAAAGTTTTCTTTGCAACTAAACACTGATCCCGGCAAGTCTTCGTTTTCCCGTGAGCTGGAGCTGGATTGGTCGTTCTATTGGAGGCGGATCATCCTCGTTCCTCCCTTTTCCAGTGGATGTTTGGCAGAAAAAAACCTGATTCTTAGATATTATCGTACCGGCGCGGCGAAAGCATGCGGGAAGTTTCGTCCATTGGATTTAATCCCTCAGCCCTTCTGAAGCAGCACCAGGGAGGACTGGAATGTACTTGCACAGCTATGTCCCATTTCCCCAAAGAGCTTGACCACTCCTTGGGATTATCTAGCAAGCCACGCGTGCAAAACCATCTTGGGAACAAAGCGGGTGAGCGGTTGCTTTGGAGTCAAACATCCAAACGGGTACATTAAATCTGATAACCAATAGGCTAGGGCATGCCTGGGCTAGTGTTTGTCATCAAACATGATGATGCCCAGGTATTAATACCTAACTCGCCATGGCTCACACATAAGGTCATGAATGACTAGACTCGTCATAGAGTCCCCCTCTTTCTTTGGACCTCCGAATAATTTTTGAGCAACATGAACAACATCAGACACATACAGTAACTATGTAGTAACAAGAAGCTAGTAGAAACAAGTGCCACGCTACTAGGAACAGGTGCCTTACTAGTAGTAACAAGAAGTTAGTAGTAACAGGTGCGTCACAGTGCATGACCTAGAATCATGTTGGATCCACTGCCCTTACTACCCGTCCGCTCCAAGGGCCGCACGCACGCTCCCAAGTGTCGAACGGCTGGTTGGACAAACACTCCTGCGATGGGGAACAAGCGATGGGGATGAGTTGTCAACGATGCCCAGTGTGCCAAGTTCCGTTCAGAGCTTTGCCAACTGCGTGCCCTGAAATCCAAATCAGAAGGAATGGGCTAAAGCTTGAGATACTTGAGAGGAGGGAGACACGAAAGGTAGGACAACGGGAAGAGAAGAGAACGCGAGAGGCAGGAACAAAAATGCAATGTTCGACATGGTGATTTATCCCCTCGGAGGCGACCTTTCGTAAATATGTTCATATGCACTTTAAATGTTCAAACATGTGCTCTCGAAATGTTCAAAAAGATTCTTAGGAAAACAAACTTGCCCCATGGCTCAGATCATCGGTGAGCATTGAATCGGAACATCATAGGATTTGAACTATCCTGAAACCATAAGAGGCTCACGAAGACGCTCCCCAGGAGAGAATTGACGTGCTTCACAAAACGTATCCCCTCGGGGAACACCTTTCGTGATTAGAATTTCATATTCACTCTTTCTAAATGTTCAAGAGGGTTTCAACTATCCTGAAATCATGAGAGGCTCACGAAGACGTTCTCCAGGAGAGAATTGATTTTAGAGGGGGGGAGGGGGGGGGGGGGGCGGGGTCTGAATTGAGCGATCAATTATTAGACCCGGACGTCCCAACACTTGCTTCGCAAGACAAACTCAAGGTATCCCCTAAAGGGCTACCTTTCGTGGCTTCACTCAAGTTTCCCGAGTTCAAGGGTGAAGCCTCCAAGGAGCTGTCATTCTCTGAAAGCCCAACTCCTTAAAGATCCTTAAAGCATCTATACCTTGACAGTTCAAAAGCCCCGGCACCGACCATGATCGACCTATGCTAGACTTGGCTGGCCCATAGCCTATGATAGCTGGTAGGACCGACCTATGGTAGCCTGAACACCAATTGCAGATCTGGTAGAACATGCTTGCGTCATGATGTCTATTCATGGGCCATGAGGATCGCGACCGCGACCACTGTGGACCGGTGGTCGTGGTCCGCGACCGGGTCGTCGTGCCCCAGGATGGCGCTCCGAAGGGGTCAAGGAAGACAGGCGCCAGCAGGATCCTGTGAGGAAGACATCGCGCGAGATGGGGACACAGCTGATTCCCTCGGATTTGTCATTCCTCGAACACATGGCCGCTGCAAAAAGGCCTCCCAAACCCCTGAAAAGGCCTACGAAATGGAGAACTTACATCCATGGGTCAAGCATGTTGAGCCATCCAAAAATCATGAGTCAATTCGTAGCTCAAAACAGGTGCTTGAAGCGTATCTTTTCGAGCCAAGCCACTCGGGCTAGATTTGTTAGGATATCTAGGGTGAAACATGGCAAAACACTTGTCTACTACGTTGTAGTGCTATTCATCATGTTACAGCATGACCTAGCTGCTGTCCAGGTTGATGTGTTCATGTACCACCTGGCAGTGCTGGCATTTTTCACAATGAAGGGAAGGAAACTCATATCGAAAACTGGACACAAATCAACTTAAATCTGCAAAATCAACACAAACCAGAAAGTACCAGGCAACACAGCTTCATAGTGAACAAAAGTACACTCCGACGTCCTATACTTGAGGCCAGAGGGGGTGAACGAAAGCTAGCCGGGCTTCCGGTGGTCTGCTGCTGGTGCTGCTGCTGCTGGTGCTGCTGCTGCCGCTGCTGCGCTGGGCGCTGCTGCGCTGGGTGCTCTGCAGGCGCCGGGTCGTCTGCTGCTGCTGCTGCTGCTGGCGCTGGGTGGTCTGCTGCGGCTGCTGCTGCCGCGGCGTTGGGTATGCTGCTGCTGCTGCCGCCGCTGGGTGGTCTGCTGTTGCTGCTGGTGCTGCTGCTGCTGCTGCCGCTGCTGCGCTGGGCGCTGCAGATGCTTGGTGTGCTGCAGCTGCTTGGTGGTCCCGCTCACCGCGCGCAGGGGGGAGTTGAACCGCGGGGGGGGGGGGGGCCATAGGATTGATTTAATCAATTATTTGAGGTTTCTGAGGTGCGTCCACCCCGTCACTTAACTTGCTAAAGCAAGAGCAACTCCAGCTAGCTAAGGCTAGCTTTCGTGATAACCAATCAAACTCACTCGCCACAAAGTGGCCAAGGGTCATCCGTCGTCCCTATCTGCTCAGCTCGGCTCAGCAGCCAAGGTGAAGTCACTGGGACATGCCCGGTTGACCTCTGAAGCCACCCTCATTGAGGTGAAGTTGGAGATGAGCCGTTCTAAACCCTACGAATCAAAAATAGCGCGCTATAATTGTAATGAATGGTCTTCGGATCATCTTGAACTGCTTCATACCCTGTGATACCCCCCCAAAATGTCTTATTCTCAGGATCTTGAAGCAGACTTTTGGCACCACGAAGAAGGGCCAGCCGCTGGCTTTCTACCGTCAATCCCCAAACGTGTTCCGCACCCGCGCCTTGGCCCACCACCACTCCGGCGCAACCGGAGACCTTCTCGCACCTTGGAGCGCAACGGTCCGTCGCGGAGTCGGCCACGCGGCGCGAAGGACGCTGCATGGAGCCCCTTTTTGTGATACATTAAACCTTGACTTGGTAGTGCGAAGACGTGCAAAGTCAGCTTATAGAAGTATAAGTTTTCCACAAGAATAACAGCAAAGGATCTGAAGTGTTCAGCCACTTGACTTGAAAGGACATACATATCCCATGCACTCCACAGCCTGTGAGTCTTTCTTTGAAACGGCTCTTCTACCAGGGGCCTGGAAGAATGACGTGAACATGGCACGGGCACCGCTCATCTGACCAGTGATTCACGGAGGGGAGGAAAGACTTCAATGCCAAGCCACTGTGCCTTGCAGTCGTCCAGGAGAAAGCCTGTGGGAAATCAGTGATCAGCTCCCCGATTGTTGGGTCTTGAACTCATCTTGGATACTTCCTCTGCACATGTTTCAACACGTACAAGGATGATCAAAATCAGCGAGGCAATGAAGCAGTCTGACTGGTTCAGGGTTTCGCGTGACCCAGCTACTAGTTCTTTGCAGTCGGCCCATGGGACCCTTCTGGAAATCACTCTTGCAGGCAGCAACCTCAATTTGCCACAAACTATAATATACATCATGCGGACGATGGCCTGCTTTAGAAGCTTGGCAAGATGACAGCTCTGTGCCATGCGGACATTTCAGGAGTTCCAAGCAGGATGCACCAGTGTGTTTTGCCCAGTAGGATGCACCCTGTTTCCGTCGCTACCAGTCCCTTCCTCCGGCCTGGCAGCTCGTAGCCATCGGCCAACTGAATGCCACCATGGCCCTGGAAGCAATTCATGCCCTCGTGCTGGGTCCAGTCTGCGCAAGCGCCGAGGGGAGTTGCCCTGTGAGGGTTAAGGAATGTGGATGTCAAGAAGCGGTAGGTGACATCACACCCACTGATCGGTTTATGATTTGAGAGATGTGCGGTCATTGTCAAACTGGCAATGAGCCACACTATAAGACTGTGCCAAATGGGGCCCAGTGGGTAACCCAAGTTGCCAGCCTTGGATTTTGCCTTCTACACACGACGATCCCAGGATGATCTGCGAGAACCCTGAAAGAAAACCCGCGCCCCTCTCCGGCCGCACCTCATGAAAGGTGATCCTGAATCATCCTGGTTGTTGCCTACATTGCTCTAGCAGACTCTAGCAAATGTCGTCGTGACTTATACTGGGAAGGGGTTGAGTGGGGCCTCCGAAATCATTGAAATTGTTATGAGTTATGAGCACACCATTCCCTTGAGGTCATTTAAGCCATTCTACTGAGAGGGCTCGGCCAGGGGTCACCCTTCGATTCGCCACCAAGGGGCGACTATTGGTGACTTAGAGTGTTTTTGTAGCACCAAATGGATCCAAACAAATCCAATGGTTTCTACATGGGCAACAACCCGCACAGTGAAAAACGGAGATGCACAGCACACAAATACAAAATAACAAACACACACACACACACTCAAGACTCAAAAATACTGAAGAACACATTCTGAAGAATCAGTAATAATGATGCGCAACCATTCAACATCCTTGATCCCTAAACCGCAAAAAATAAAGAAACATGTCCCATGATCCACCAACGGAAACCCTGGCGAAGAACCGGGGAGGATCTTCATTTCGGTCCGTGCGTCGGTCCGTGCGGTCCGTGCCTGCGGCCAGGACCATGCTGGCACGCAAGCCTATGTGTCTGCTGCGAGCAGCAAGGTTTTCTGGAGTTGATAGAAAACTCCATGAAACTCTTATATACATACCTGGAGCCTGAGTGACCCCTGTTTTGGAGGATCAACTATCCAAAATATGAATGGTCTTTTCCCATCAAAACACAGGTCAGTCAGGCTCTAGGTGTATATATATATATAAAACCAAGTCAGGCCCTTGATCGATGTTTGCTCCTTCTTCTACCCGGCGAGCTAATTTTGGTTGGGGTATCCGGTGTCCGAAAGACTTCTGCGAGGCACAAGGCACAAACCTCTTTTGGGCGGGGGAGGCCGGTGCCGGGTGGAGGACTTCGGAGCTCCCCTGGTGACGTCTCAGCCTTGGAAGCTCGAAAGAGGGGCCCGTTCGAGCCTGCGCCAAAAGCTCCTAGTAGCGAACATTGCTCCTAGTAGTACGGCCAGGAGCCCCTAGTAGCGTCCTTGCTCCGTTCGTAGCGATGCCAGGAGCCCCTAGTCCGTAGTAGCTTCTTGTTCCTCTGTTCTTGTTCCTCTGGGAATGGCAAGAAGGGGTAGACCGTCGGGACCCACTTCCGGGCAACCTGTCGACACTGTCGGCTCCAACGATCGGTCCCTCGCCGGCCGCGAGGCGAGGCGGTGGTAAAACCCAACATCGTTGGCATGAGGTAAACCCAAAATCGTTGGATGACGCTCATAAACCGGTGGAGATCCTGGAAGACTGTTTTTTTCCACTGCACAAGCTTGTTCGTTTGCCTCAGTCAGAAGGCTCCCAAGGCTTTCCAAAGCACCCTGCAACCAAAGCACTGGAACGTTCGGGCGCTTTTCCAAAGGTGAGGAAGCCGGCGAGGGCCAAGAACGCCAAGACAAGTGACAGCAGGAAGGGTCTGCGCACAATCGAACAAACCGCACTGGCGATAGAACTCTCAGTGACGGTGTTGTTTCTGGTGTAATTGGTGCAAAGTTCGGCATTGTCCGGGCGCACAGAAGATCAAAAAAAATCAGAGCGGATTTCGGTGTCCTCAAGTTAATCATGTTAATCACTACATGTTGCTACTGTATGGCTTGTCCTCCATCTGAAGATATTTGAAGCTGGTTTCTGAAGGACTCTCCATGTTGGCAAACATTGGTAACACCCCACATCCACACAGCCACACTCTGACACTTGTATTCAGTTAACTCAATTTCCCGATGGGAAGAAAGGCGAAGAACCGCAGGGCGCAAAGGTCAGTGAAAACAGTATGGTTTAACCTTGTTTGCAGTGGCACTCGAAAAGACGATCGGACACTCAGCGCGGCTGCAAGTCGGCTGTAAGGCTGCGGTGGGTTTGGGGGGCGGTAGCATGAAGAACCATTGAACCAACGAACAGCGGCAGGGTGGACCATTGGAGTCAGTGTGTTGGGAGCAGGTACAGGAAGGTGATCAGCCTTCCCTTCCCATCCATGACCGCAGCTTCGTTGCACACGGTAGGTCATGGATGCCGTGTGCCCCTGCTGGTTGAAAAAGTTAGTGGAAAAGCGTGGAAAAGGTGGCGGTGGAGATCCCTTTGCCCAGGGGTGGACACACACAGATCGCCGCATTCGGCGCTTTTTTCAAAAACCGGTGGCAGTGAGGCTGAGCTGGGTATGAGCTGATTGTCAAGTGCGATCATGCATCTCGAATTAGAGTGGAGAACTCCAGTGCACAAGCTTGAGTTCTGCTGATGAAAAGGTCACGGCATCAATCTAAAATTGCAACATGTGGAAAAACAACATGCATGACGGATCCGAAATCTGGTGAAGGAGAAAGTAGCCGTTTTTTGGCCCGGCGGCCGATGCATCTGTTGATTCAAAGGATGTGTCAATGACTTCCAGTGGAAATCCGGTGAGAGGTGGCATGTTGGGTTGGTTGCTTGCCGAAGTGGAAAACCGCGCCCCAGTGACGGGGATCACACTCAGCACCCGAGTGGGACGGCTGAGCGAAACACACTCTGACACTTGTATTCAGTTAACTCAATTTCCCGATGGGAAGAAAGGCGAAGAACCGCAGGGCGCAAAGGTCAGTGAAAACAGTATGGTTTAACCTTGTTTGCAGTGGCACTCGAAAAGACGATCGGACACTCAGCGCGGCTGCAAGTCGGCTGTAAGGCTGCGGTGGGTTTGGGGGCGGTAGCATGAAGAACCATTGAACCAACGAACAGCGGCAGGGTGGACCATTGGAGTCAGTGTGTTGGGAGCAGGTACAGGAAGGTGATCAGCCTTCCCTTCCCATCCATGACCGCAGCTTCGTTGCACACGGTAGGTCATGGATGCCGTGTGCCCCTGCTGGTTGAAAAAGTTAGTGGAAAAGCGTGGAAAAGGTGGCGGTGGAGATCCCTTTGCCCAGGGGTGGACACACACACACACACACACATCCGGGTGGCCAGTGAAGCAAATGGCACATCCCAGACACGTTGTGTTTGACCCTCGCCTGAAATTCACACCTGCTGGACGCGACTCGTGCCCATCCTGTGCGAAAAGCAGGACGTGACTCATAGATGGTGGAATCATAGATGGTGTACAGTGCACACAGTGTTTCTTTCGGATATCGGATGTGTAAACAAATGGTGCTCCACTCATTCTCAAATTCAAAACAGGCTGGTGTGGCTCGATCAAGTGCTGCTTAATCGAAAAACGAAAACGATGCGTGCTTTCACCAAGTTATGGTTCTGTGGAGATTGCTTCAAGCCAAACTTCTGACACAATCTCCAAACCCTGCATTTGCATGTCGATCTTAAGTTGAGGCTCTTGCCTTGCTGCGACTCTTTCTCTTCCACCTACATCCAAGCTCTAGTATTATATACTACAGTACTACAGTATAATTAATATGCTTTCTCTACATATCCTCGGTTGAACCAAACATGCCGGAATGGAAGGCCACAACGTTCCCAAAGTTACCGCGTCCTCCGTCAGCAAATGTGCGGCCTGAAGGGGGCAAGATCACGGTGAACAAGTCCTCTTGGTTTAATCAGTCCAGTGCAGAAAAGCGCAAATTCCCTCTATAAAGTGGTCAAACATACTGTAGGATTTCCGATGGGTACATGGTTTACAGAAGGACATTCCATTCCCCAGATGCACAAAACCTGTTTACTGATGTTCAAAGCCTGTCTCCAAAGTGTGACTGCTGGCCGATGGTAAGAAATCACGCAAATTGAAGCAAATCTGCCACTGTTTTGTGAATTTAGGGGGCACTTCTGTTGACGCTCAGTGTGATCTCTGTTCAGATGGTCAGCCGTCCTGATATCCCTGATATCACCGTTCCACGCCAACAAAGGATCAATGAAATTACACTCTTGGCATTGCCGACCGATCGCTCACAGAATGTGTGCAGCTACTAGTAGCTTCTTGTTGCTATAGTAGTAATGCCCTTGTTACTAGAAGCGATGCCCTTGCTACTAGTAGTGTCCTTGCTCCTGTGTGCAGCTCCATGCCTGGAAGAACTTTAATGACGATTGCAGCAACACCGCAAAATGGGTTTGCCCACCCCAAGCGTTTTGAGGGCAATTGACGCTCTCCCCACTTCAAACAAATCCCACTGTTTTGAGGATCACCGCAAGAAAAGCGAAACAGAAAACTCTGGCAAGCACAATGAGGGGACATGCAAGTGGACCATGTTCGCTGGTTTGTAGAGGAATGTAGTCTTCCAAGAGGTCATCCTGTACTTCCATGGTTTGTTCTTAGGGTTGTATGTTGTAGTGGACGGTTCCCAGTTCTCGTGTGCTCACAATGCCTCTTGTTGATGTCTTCTTAGACCAGGATTGAAGCAATGATCGCCGATCAGAAGACTATTCTGTTCAACTAAGGCAGGTCACTCAGTGTACCTGGATTTACCGAAGCGTCAAAACAGTTTTGAGATTTGACTTGACCGTCACAGTCCTTCAGACCTTCACTCTTCTTCAGACCTTCACTCATACTGATCTTCTGTTTCTTCACTGACCGCTCTTTGAGAGTCCCTTCCTTCCACCCTTCGCCAGGTAAAGCACGGTGCACACCACAGCGGAGCGGGTCCCAACAAAATGTCCCGTCCCAGAAAACGGTCCTCCGTGTGATCACTGTGTTGCAGCATGGCTCAATGGATCAACAATGGCTCAATGGATTCCTTTACAAACGCATTTGCAGGCGTGCATGTTGCATCTCCAATCCTGAAAATTATTGCATGTTGCATCCTCCCATGAGGCATGAGCCACAATGACAGGTGACAGGAGGCGAAAAAAAAATACAGCTGTGCTGGACACAAAAGGTTTCTGATGGGCAAAGAAGTTTGACATTAAGTAGCACGCCCAGTCAAGATGGCATGATAGCTCATCTACCAAATGTCCTATGTTGCATTGTTCATCTAACATCATCTAACTAGAAAATAACCTACGGTCTAAACTTAATCCCACTGTCTTCCTCTTCAAACCTGGCACTAAGCTATCTGCCCAGCCCCGGTACTAGCTATCTGCGTTCCCTCCCAATATTCTATCGAGGCTCGGCGTCTTTGTGGCTTCACGAAGGATCCTCCAAATCTGGACCCTCCACAGTGGGCACAAACAAAACGAACATGCCACATGCCTGTTCGGCTTTGAACACCAAGAAAATGAAACAACAAAACAACACAAAACCACAGTGTGCTGGTGTGCCTGTACAGCAGGTTTTGACATTGGCAAGCAGGTTATGTGGGTTCAGCTAGTTGTTTTCTTTGGAAGCTCATGGAAGCTCAATGCAAGTAATCTCTCTATCAAAACCTCCCACTAATAAAAACAATTATACAGGTGTCTGAGTTTGTGCTAAACCACGTCGAACCAAAAAGTCCCTTATGTCTCACAATAAGACAATAAGTGCGCATGGTTGCCTATTGACCTCGTCTGAACTCGTATCAAAAACAACTACAAGTCGAAAGGGACCTTTTTGTTCAAACAACCCTTATAAAGAGTCGACCACCATGTTCATCAAAGTACTCTAGAGCATCTCACCTGAGAGCTAGGTAGAACATATCCTTAAAGGAACAATTCCAAAGGAGGACCTTAAGGCCATTGGGTCAATCATCTCTGCGCTTTGAGCTTCCGGCGCCCGTGTGCTGTGACTCATCGGCCCTGGATGCCAACAGAAACGAGAGATGTTTTCCTTTGAAACATGGCGGGTGGATGTGAGGATGTAGAAAGAGCTATGTTGTGGTAGGAAGTTCAGGATCTCATGGGGTTCACCATCTTCTTCAAAGCCGTTCAGGATGGTCGGGAGCTCGGCTGGCTGACGATCGATGCTCGCTTTTGCATTCGAACGGTTGAGGTTCAAGCGCTGGCTCACAGCACAACCGAGCAACACAAATAGAAACATTTGAGTCTAAAGCAAGCCTACACAGAAAAACAACACGTTCATCAGTCTGAATACTGATGCCACCCAAACTGTCTACCAAGAAACACTTGTAATTGTGGTCCTTAGCCTGAGCCCTCCTAGTCTTCCAAACCTGGACCATCGGAGAAGACCATCCTACGGTCCTTCTCCGACAGCACCAAATTGTTCAGCGACATTCCTACCGAATGAGTAGACGACCGAAGATCGTCAAGTCCACTCAAACTGGGAGGTTCCTGCGAGACGGCAGCAACCCATGCATTCCCCCCCATGAGATGATCGGATCATCCTCGAGCCTTGGGCCACCACGGCGGCAACTCCACGTCCTCGAGATGTCGGCGTCGCGTTCGTTCGATGATGGGACCATCCTTAAAGCAAAAACACATGCAAGAACCAATCAAAAACAGTCAACACCGGGGGAAGTAAACAATAGAAAACACATAGTTAATCATAGTTATATCATGTTATATCACATAAAGGTCTTGATGAGTTTAACTAGGTCTTGAGTCTCTGCCTCTGCAGGCTCGGATAGCACAACTTCATGGTGCGGTAGCTGCACAACGTCCCACGGACCCAACGACTAACCGCGACTTCCCGTTGGCTGGACCACCTCGTCCTCGTCCACTTTGGGAGCCTCACGGTGGTGATATTAATCAAAGCACCCTTGCGGACTTCCTGGAAAGTGGGGATAGCGAAGGACATTTGCACACTATCTGAACACAAAAGCATGTAGGAACAAGTGCCACGCTAGTAGTAACAGGTGCCTTACTAGTAGTAACAAGAAGCTAGTAGAAACAAGTGCCACGCTACTAGGAACAAGTGCCTTACTAGTAGTAACGTCATGGTAGGAACGAACATTCAGAACAAACTCTGGAAAAAAACATATAAAGGCTCGTCACCAGGCCAAACCAAGTTCATACAGTACCTACTCGCTTTTACCCAAAGTAGGCAGAAACTTATGTCCCCAAGAAGGCATTCGAAGTATATCGAAGTATAAGACAGTACAAGTTGGTAAGCTCAATCAGTCTACACATGTTGCCTGCGCCTTCCTTCCAGGCCAACATAAAACCTTCGAAAGGTGGAACTTGTCTGACAACGGTTAATGGACAAACTGCGTCGAGGATCCTTTTGCGGAGCTTTTCGAGAAAACAACGTCTGGTTTGATACATAAACAATGTGTGTTGCATGCTGGATTGCAGAATTCTTATGGTATGTTATCATACTTGTACCAATCTTGGAGAGACTGTGTTGCAACTGATAAATGATGATCAAATGCTTTTAACTGTTTCACCACGTCCACTAGAATTGTAGCGCTTTGAATCTTATTGCAGCCTTCCCTTGTCAGCATGGTTTGATTTCAAGAATTGATTCATTCCTGGGACCGATGATAGGTACTTGACTGTTTTGCTCCAGGTTTGGAAGATCTGGCTGACTATCACTTGGGGTCAAAGGGACCAGGGGGAGGGTTCAACTCATGGGATTCCGAAACAAACAACACCAGACCACTTTGGGTCTCGGCGTCTTACCATTTGGGGTACCAGTAAGACGTTCTTATATATGTTTTTGCAGAATGGACATTTGCATTTTTGGCCTCAAGAGTGGAGTGCATAGTGCTTTGAATGTCTACTTGTTAAGTCGCGACTGCAATTGCATAGTTGACATGCACTTTACTTTGACCCTAGGCTTCTGGAATGTTGCGTACCTTGAAAACCTCATATATTCTTATAATGCAGATTCTTGCCTAATGCCTGATTCTATTTCCATCTGAGCACACTGGCGGGACAACAAAGAACAGGCCGATTTTACGATGGGGTAATCGAGGCAATCACATGTGAATCGACATCAAGGTGAGGCAACCAGAGTCTAAAGCAAGGTAAGGAACCACAACGTTCCATCTCTCCCTTGGAAGAGAGCACCATGTTGACAACAACCTCACCAAACGTCACGACAAACAACAGCATTGGAGAGCCCAGGACCCCTAGACCCCCCATCGGGTCACAGGGATCGAACAATATGAACATCCGTAACATCCTCAAAAGACCAGCTGCCATTCAGCAAGTGTTTCCGGTTGCCCCATGGCCCCATCAATTAGTACAGTAACTCTTCCTTGAAAACACCGGAAAGGATGGACTTGTCCTAAAATACAGTATCCGTATAACTGGCCCTAACCTGCGCCGGTGGCGAAGTCGTTGGCGTTGGCGTCTGCGGTGTTTGTGCTGGCAAGACCTGGAGGGCTTGCAATCGGAAGGAGAAGACTCGACCAAATCCTGAGGCATTCCATCCCAGGTTCCCGCTCAGCGAGAGAATGGCATTGCACTACGTGTCACTACATCAACATACTTCAATCAATTCCATGCAACAGTTTGTTTCCATTGTAGGCAACGGTTCTGTATTTTGGCATATGAGCGACCGGCAAAACTAGGGGTCGTTTGGTGGTACGTTGAGAGCATGGTATCGTTTTTGGGATTGGTATCGTTTTTCAATTCATATGCAATTTTTTTGGGGGAGGTATCATCTAAATGTAATTTGCTCTGGAAGGTGATCTTGCAAATGATGACAGCAGCAGCAGCAGCAGCAGGAGGAGTAGTAGTAGTAGTAGTAGTAATAGTAGTAGTAGTCGTCGTCGTAGTAGTAGTAGTAGTAATAGTAATAGTAGTAGTAGTTGTTGTTGTTGTCGTCGTAATAGTAGTAGGAGTAGCAGTAGCATTAGCAGTAGTAGTAGTAGTAGTAGTAGTAGTAGTAGTAGTGGTCGTCGTAGTGGTAGTAGTAGTAGTAGTAGTAGTAGTAAACGTAGAAGTAGTAGTAGTGGTGGTAGTAGTAGTAGTAGGAGTTTAGTAGTAGTAGTAGTAGGAGTAGCAGTAGTAGTAGTATAGTAGTGGTAGTGGTAGTAGTGGTAGTAGTAGTATAGTAGTAGTAAATAGTAGTAGTAGTAGTAGTAGTAGTAGTAGTAGTAGTAGTAGTAGCCGTAGTCGTAGTAGTAGTAGTAGTAGTAGTAGTCGTAGTAGTCGTCGTCGTCGTAGCAGTAGTAGTCGTCGTCATCGTCGTCGTCATAGTAGTAGTAGTAGTAGTAGTAGTAGTAGTAGTAGTTAGTAGTAGTAGTAGTAGTAGTAGTAGTAGTAGTAGTAGTAGTAGTAGAGTGGCAGTAGTAGTGGCATGTGAGTGGGCAGGTGGTGTCTGAGGGGATACAGACCTATGAAGTGGGTGTCGTTTGGTATCGTTTTTGGTATCGGTCTGAACCCATAATTGTTTCCCATCGAAGAAAAAGAAGGGAAAATTAGCAAAAATGAAATGGAATGTCCAGCTAGCATGGCAAACCATATGCAAAAAAACCTTGGACATACACTGTCTGGAGTGTCAACATTGTCTCCAGGCAAAGATAGATTCCAAGATGTGTACCGTCACAAGGCTAGGCATCGTTTTTGGGATTGGTATCGTTTTTTCAAGGAAAATGCAACTTGCTCATTTTGAAGAAACGTGAGTGCCGACCTTTAGCTCTTTGCTCATATGTTTAGCTCTATGTTGCTTATAGGGGCAACTACTTCACAGGGACCTCAGGTATACAGAGTAGACCCCAAAATCTGGGGTCTAACATGAAAAGCCTATAGCGCAAATATTGATTTGGCCTACCATGTTAGACGTGGGGGGGGGGTACAACATCAGCCGGTCTAACGTGGTTTGCTTCCCGTATATCTTCTTGCACATCCGATGTTGCTGAGCATGTTAGACCCTCATGTC